TTGCTGAAAGGGAACATTTTCTTTCAGGGAACAGCCTGCCTTTTGATATGTAGTTATATTTCATTAGGAAATAATGTAAACTACTCTACCTTGGAATTAAATTCTCTTCTTGGCCTCCCAGCAAAGATTGAGATCTGAATAAAGGCATGTGTAGCCAACAGGGATTCCTGCCTTTGGTAAATGTCAGTGATTTGCTATTTTCTCCTTGGAGTATGAAACCTTCTTCCGTACCGCCCATCCTGGCTTTAAGAGCAGCTGAGCAAACATGAGGGGAGAATTAAGCTGCCTCTTGGTTCCCAGCTTGTCTGTCTTGGTAACGTGATCATTAGACTCAGCGTCTTGTCCTTGTGACTTTGCTTGTGGCCACACCCTGGCTTCTCAGTGCACGTGAGGTAGGGCTCACACCACTGGCTTTAGGGATTTTTTAGAACTGGGAATACTATAGGGCTTATTTGCGTGACAGCTTTGTATGTTTGGGATTGGCAGAGGCTGGACAGGGGTGGGGACAGTGGCTGAAACAGCCTGTCTAGATTGAAAATAAGTGAGCCACGAGTATAAAGCAGGGATTGTTTGGGAAGGAGGACCAGTGGGTGTAGGGAGGGCAAACAGAGAAGGTGATGAGGGGGTGACTGTGATCAAAGTGTTCATATGCGTGTATGAAAACAGAATAATGAAGCCCATTAAAAACTGGATAAGAGGGGGGAGGTGACAAGAAAGAGCAATAGAGGCAGTGAATTTGATCAAAGCACCTATGTAAAAACATCACAATGAGACCCCTTTGTACGATTCATTATACCAATAAAAACTAATAAAAAAACAAATAAAAAAATGAATGACTTAGGTTTGGTAGACCTTTGACTCTACACATGTGGTGGACATCACCTTACTCAGTAAAAGTTGTGCCTAGCAATTAGGTATCAAGTCTTGGGAAATACCAATATAAATCTCACAGTCTGTTCCCAGGCATTTGTAATTCATCAGGGGACAGAAATTCACGGGGAAGCACTATGCAAAGTGGTGAGCTCAGAGCTCTGCACAGCGCTGCTGTTGCAGAGAGAGAGTGGTGCACTGATTTACAAAAAGCTTCGCAGAGAGGTTGGCAACCTGGGCTTCTGAGGATGGCCTTGCCAGCTAGATGTGCTGAAGTAATGACCTTGGTGGAAGGCATTATGAACCAGGGGACTGAGCCGAGTGTGGTATGTCATAGAAACGGTGGGTGGTTTGAGATCCCAGCTGAATGGCTGCACAGAATGAAGGCTGGACCTTGACTTTCAATTTGAACTCCACTGTATAGCATTTTAAATCAGGTTGTCATGATTAGAAATGCTTATTTTAGAAGGCTTAGTGTGGTGAATAGGTTGGAAGGAGGAAAGAACAGACTGAAAGCAAGTATTCCCGGAAGAGAGGGTGAGGCCTGTTGCATGAGTGGTGTGGAGAAGATGGATAGGATGGACATTTGGAGATAAATTATAAGCACTTAGTGAGCAAATCAGGGGAAGGCCAAGGATGGACCCTTGAGGGAAGCCTGTCTTGAAGGTGTGGGCAGAAGAAATGGAATCTGTGTGAGAGACTGAGTGGTGTAACAGAAGGTGGAGGAGGATGTATACTTTCAACCAGAGTGGCTCAGCTGTCTGAGTGCCTCAAAGGGGACAAAGTAGGGCACATAAGAATTGAGGTCATGGGCCACCTTGGGATATAGGTTACTTTAGAGGTACTGCCAGAGTGAAGGAAAAAGCCAGATACTTTCCCTATTCAAGCTGTATCACTATTCCTCAAGAGTGCAGCTAATAACGACATGTGCTTGTGTACTGGAATAGCCACCAACACCTTGCTCTTCAGGTACTTGGATGTAGGTAATTGGAAGACTGGGAACGAGCTTCTGTGGCGTCAGGCGAAGTTTGGTTTCCTCTGTGTCACAGTTCAGCTCTTTTCTCTGGTTCAGTGCTTCTTTCTTTATTCCCCAACAGGTGCAGATTCCAAGACATTCTGCAAGAATGTACTTGGTGTAAATCTCTGAGGTTCTCAAAGTCTATTTCTTGTGGAACCACCCGGATATGATGATGGTTTCCAGTGTGGTTGCCTCCTCAAGCCAGTTACCAATGGAATATTCATTAGTCCCTTTCATCTTCACTTCTAAGCCTGTTGGATGTGTTCAGCAAAAATCCTTTCTCTCTCTCAGTAGTTGGAAATAAAGTGTCCTTATGGAGCCTCCCTGGTTCTGATTGGCTGGGTTATATGCCCATCAATAGACCGTTCACAGAGGGAAAGTGGAGGTCTCAGAAGTCAGTTGCCTAAATCCTCCTGGAACCTAGGTATTAACCCCATCCCTAAGAGGAGATCCAGGAGGTAGGGAGTCTACCTCTCTACCTGCCCTCTCTTTCACCCTTAATGGATTCCCTAAGGCAGCCAATAATCACCGTCCTCCAGCTCCACTTTCCTTCGCTTTTCATCCAGTCAAGAAAAATGTTGAAAGCACAATTGAGATATTTCAAGCAAATGGAGAACTGCTCCCTAAATATGTTGCAGAAACACCACTGAGCAAACAAACTCCTGGGAAGCACAGCTTAGAAACAAACAGCAGCTGCCACCATTTCTGAGCTGTTTTTTCTCTTGCTTGTTTCTAATTTTGGTTGTAATAAAACCTGCTCCTCTAATGGCCTAGTAGATTTCTAAACAAATTTCTCTTTCCCATCCTGAGGCCTCCCAGGTGGCCTTGACAGAGTTTTGTAGCTATGGGGCAGTGGTAGACTCAGAGTTCTAGTTCCCTTACAGTGTTTTCCTGTCTTGGTTCTGTCGGAACTTGGTCCACAACACTTGGACCAGGTGGACATAGCTGGAGCTTCTGGCTTCTTGCTTTTTCTGGCTGTGGAAGAGTGGGTAATGCCAGTGCCGTCTTTCTCACTGACCAGACCAATGCTTACTCTTACTGTTTGATTTTTCTTTTCTTCTTTTGTTTTTTTTTTTTTTTTTAGTGTGGAATCTTTGAAAACACATCGCCATGGACTTTTCTTGGGTCTGATTTATTAAAGACTGACTTGAAAGAGCTCTTTAGTTGTTACATCAATTTTTTCCCCCCTCCTTTTCTATGCATAGCAGAGTGGCTGCTCCCGCCATGCAGGTTTTACTCCATTTCAATGTTTCTGGTGTGGAATTCCTCAGGTTAAAAGTAATTACTATTAGGTTGGTTTTTTTGGCAGTACTAGGGTTTAAGTTCAGGTCCTTGCACTTGCTGGGCAGGGCCTTTACTGCTTGAGCTATACCCCCAGCCCTCTTTGCTTTCGTTTATCTCTCTGATAGGATCTTGCTTTTGCCTGGGGCTGGCCTCGGGCCTCAATCCTTCTACCACTGCATACTACATGGCTGGGATTACAGAAATTCCAGCACTTCCGGCTTATTTATTGGGGGGGGTCTCACTAACTTTTTGCCCCTGCAGGCCTTAAACTATAGTCTTCTTCTGCTTCCTGAGTAGCTGGGATTACAGGTGTTCATCACCATGCCTTATTCTTATTAGGTATTACTAGGTTATCGACTATGTGCAAGGCAATGTGCTAGACCCTCACTTACTCTTTGCAAGAGCTATGCAAAGTAGAAGTAATCCCTGTTTAAAGGCTCAGGTGCCAAGTTGCTCTCCCAGGCTTTCCCAGAATCACACAGCCCATCAAGAAAAAGCTGGTATTCAATCCAGAGTTGTCTGAATTCAAGGCTCTGGCTGTTCCCCTTCTGCCTTTCAGTCACACACCATACTAATATGGTTAGTGTTCTCCTATGTGTTGGATAGAAATAGGCTAAAGTTTGCAATCTTTTTCATCTTTCAGAGTATTTTTTTTAAATTAAGTGCCCAACACTTAAAAATTAGAAAGTCTCACACTAAAGAAAACTTTTGTTTTTTCTTGAGAAATCTTTAGCACTATTGTGCTCCTGTGTCTACAGGACAATAATTAGTCCTGGCTAAGCAAACTCCCGCCCCCTCTACCTCCCACTTCTCCATCCAAAGGAGGCATGGCTTCTCCAGTTTGGGCCCTGGCTGGGCCCCTTCACTCATTTACCTTGTTTGCCTGACCTCTGTAAGCATTGAAGTTTGTGGCTCTTGATTTATTTCTTTAAAGAAGCAATTTCTTTCCAGTCAGGAATCAGTAAGGGTAAAAGTCAATTTCTGTTCTCGGTTGAATTTGATAGGCTTTGCTTTTTCTTTTGAGCTGTTTAGGATTATAATTCAATAATAGTAGCAGTAATTATTGCACATTTACTGAGCCTTGTAACATTTAGCTGACTCCTGCGGTTAGTGGACACCTGTTTGGTGGCAAGAAGTTGTATGATTCTCCAGCTTAGTTTGCATTCTAAATCCTGTAGTTAGCCTATAGGACTGCAAGAGCACATCTGCAGGGACTGCATTGCAGAAGGGAGAGATGAATCCAAGGAATAGCATTCTGAGATGGGGAGAGATGTTAGTTCCATTTTCTCTTGGAGACTGTGGACTCCGTGGGAAAGATTGCCCATAGTGCAGGAACACCTTTTTCACGCTACTGTCTACTCTAGTGAACAGTTCAGACATTTCCAGAGAAATAGCCTAGAAAGTTAGACTCTCCATTTTATCTTTATCTTAAAAAAATTTTTTTGGTGGCCCTTGGGTTTGAACTCAGGGCCTCATCTTGCTAGGCAGGCTCTCTGTTACATGAGCCACACCGCCAGCCCTTCCGTTTTCTCTTGATATTTCTCCAAGTCCATTTCCACTTGAAATATGTTAATTTTTAAAATTGTTTTAATCAAAAAACATCTTTTTTGTCTGATTTAAGCCCATTTCACAAAACTGTAGACTGGAAACAGAGTGAATTTGATAAACTTCATAGCTGCTTCTGAACTAAATTTTTAAAATCTTGTTAATATTCAATTCTAACACGCGAGCTCCCTCAGCTAAAGTTATTTGCTTATTTTGAATAAATTTTTGATTAAGATAATGCCTGGAACATTGTTTTGAACTTTGTTTGTTTATTTTCTTTCAGGACCCTGCAGGGATCTTTGAGTTGGTGGAACTTGTTGGAAATGGAACCTATGGGCAAGTATATAAGGTGGGTGCTTGGAGCTTGAGCCTTGCCTACGAGCGATTTCAGTTCATGAACGCTGAGTAACAAGGCCGTCCATACTTGCTCATAAATGCCTCACAACAGAGTTAATGAAATAGCACACTTGTTAATCGACTTTCTACCTACTTGAATTCATCTGTAGTCATGCTGCCTACCGTGGCTTCCATGGCTTGGGCACTCACTCCCCTTCAGGATGTATTACAGTATGGATTCTGATGCTGCCTGCTGAAACTTGCTAAGTAGTTAGTTTCCTTTACGTTAAGCACTGCCAGCTAATTTTCAAAGGACAAAAGGATACAGCTTACTTTAGAAATTTAAGCTATTAGACTATTATAATAGCCAGGTAGAGAAGGAGATTTGTTACTGGCCCACAGCACAAGTTAAATGAATTTAGTGAACAGTTTTAGGAGCAAAGGCTCAATGGCAGCAATGAATTTAACAAGTTACAGGATAATTAAAAGTTCGACCTGAGTTGGAATTGAGCTTCCTGTCCTTTTTACTAGCTTTTTTTTTTTCTTTTTACAAATTCACCCCAAAATATTTTTAAAAGCTATTTTCCCCTAAGAAATTATCTAAAAAAATCCTCTATTTTGAAAGCATGGGCTGATTCCTCTTTTGATTCCCAGAGGGAAATGGAAATAAACTGTTTTTGGACTAAAACTTTGGGGGTTTTGGTGATGGAGCCTTTGAAATGCCTTTGAAACAAACCAGCTGTTTCCTCATGATTATTGCCAGGGAAATAGCCATCCCTTTCTGAAGTGGTTATGCTATGGGATGGCATTTCCATTGCAGATTAGCTCTCATTATTCTGTTTTTTAAAAAAGATTATTTCTTTGAGTCCTAAACTTCTCTTGATTAAAATTATTGTAGAATTCATCCAGTGTTTGATATTTCTGATTCTGCCGAATGTCACTTGTGTATGTATAAGGTGTTCTTGAGGGTCTGTTTTTTAAAGCACAATTGCAAGTAGAGTCACATTTATGCCTTTATTTAGTGGGAGCTACCCTTTGGTGTCCACTCCAGGGAAAAATTTTTCCTTTTGAAGAAACAATCATTTCCTAAAATGTCAACCCCTTATAATTAGACAGAATGTAGTCTACCTAAGCTGTTCATTTGATGTTGATCCTGTCTGACACAGAAAGAAAGGTGTCTCAGAAAATGCTTTTAAATACTTTCAATGAAGATAATTAGGTTGGGAGATTGTGTTATTGCATTTTGATAAATTGGATTGAACTTGTGAGGTAATGCGGCTAATGAATTAAGCTCTGATTTAGGTAGAAAATTACTCTTGATTTGCTGTCAATGTGGAGGAACAATTCAGTAGCCTGCTGTTGGTTTCCTGGTGCCATTTATAGCAGTTCCATTGTAAGCTGCTTTCTACCTGTAGATATACATTTGGGAGACAATTTACAGCTTTGTCCACTATCCAAGAGGTAGAACTATACAATCTTGCAAGAGGAAAGAACAGCATTCAATTATAAAGGAGAACGTTTGGAAAATCCAGAATAATCCCTAATTTCATGTGATCTAATAAGAAAAGCAATCAAATGGCAAGAAGTTACAGACCTTCTTACCAAGGGGAAGATATTTAGGAACCAGTTGTTATTCTAAAGGGTTCTGTTCTCTTAATGGTTGATACAATACCTGGCACCTTCCAAGTTGAGGGGAAACTGGAGAATGGTCACCATGATGCGTTTGATTTTGGGACAGGAGACTTGGTCTCTTTTACCAGCCCCGTGTGTTGTTTTTTGGCCACTGCATCTTTTCTGTGCTGGAGTCAACTGAGAATGTAATTAGAATGCTTTAGGGACTTGTGATGATTTATCTAAAGTATTGCAAGTCCTACTTAGTTAAGGGTTTGGTTTCTAGGCAACCAGGTGATGTTAGATGATACTACTCGTGAACAGAAGCATTTAAATTTCTTTTTTTTTTTTAATTCATATGTGCATACAATGCTTGGGTCATTTCTCCCCCCTTCCCCCCACCCCCTCCCTTACCCTCCCGCCATCTCCCCTCCACCCCCTCGCTACCTGGCAGAAACTATTTTGCCCTTATCTCTAATTTTGTTGAAGAAAGAGTATAAGCAATAATAGGGAGGACCAAGGGTTTTTTCTAGTTGAGATAAGGATAGCTATACAGGGAGTTGACTCGCATTGATTTCCTGTGTGTGTGTGTTACCTTCTAAGTTAATTCTTCTTGATCTAACCTTTTCTCTAGTTCCTGGTCCCCTTCTCCTATTGGCCTCAGGTGCTTTAAAGTATCTGCTTTAATTTCTCTGCGTTGAGGGCAACAAATGCTATCTAGTTTGAGGACTAACCCCATCCTGCTGTTGCCCACAATGCTGAAGGATTAAAGCTTAATGAAATAATAAAATTCGACTTAAAGAAATGAGAACCTAAAGAAAATTAAATTAGGAAGTGATTTTTCACACTATATGTTTTGCAATTTTTATGGAGTAGGTATGTTTCTAAAATACTGCAGGTATAAATAGAAATGTTATCTCCTCAGGGGGATCCTTTTATAAAAATGGAATATGATGAATATTAAATATTAGGCCTTATGTTTTAATATTTTGCAATTAAATTAATTTGCAAATTAATCTCTGCGTTCCTGGTTTTCACAAAGTGATGTATAATTTTATGGAAAACTAGACGGACATAAACTTTATTTTATGGAAAAATTTATTATACAAGATTTTTAATAAGCAGCCCAATGTGGTTCATAGTATATTTTATTTTCAAAAAGAATCATAGTTTATCTGCTAAATAAAAGACATATGCAGACATTAAAAGACTATTTCCTGAAGTATATCTTCACGTGAGCCAGATACATCTGTATTAGAAATATAAATATCTTACAGATAGGCTATTAATTCATGTTTAGCTATTCAAAGTTGCCTCTAGTCTTACTCCCAAGTCTATCCCATGGTAACCTGTTGGTAAGGCTAGGTTCGCTTATCTGTAGCATTTTGGTTCTAGGCAATAAAGAAGCAATTTGGCATTAATTTTTGTTTTGTTTTGTGTTCTTTCACTTTATTACTAGACAGAATTGGTAAAAGATAATAAAGGATAGCAACTTTCTGTTGCTTTTAATGACTTTAAATGAGAAAACTGTCTTCTTGCACCCATTAAAACCCAAGCCAACACAAAGCCACATTTGCTAAAGGTTTTGGCTATTTATTGGCATACCACCTATTGGGAACCTAATGGAATCTGGATGGTAAAATAGAGTAATTATTTTAATAAGTCTAAATAATTGTTTAATGTTTATTGCCAAAACACTACTTCTAATTAACAGCCTATGTAAAATGAATGTTGGTCTATTCTGCTTCATAATTGCCCTCTTGAAATATCATTATTACAGAGTTGGAGACATATTTTATCCGAGGGTGACAATGTGAATTAGGAGTATAATGGACTCCTAAGTATTTCTCACATCTTTTTTCAGTCCTCTTTAAGATTGTGAAGTGCAAAGTAAAGAGGCCATCTTGGTGGTTTTAGTAGTTGAGGGGAGATATTGCCAATGTGTGTATATTTTTAAAGGCTGACAAAGGTCACCTCACCCATAATCACCTGTGGACATGTGAACTCCTTACTTCTCACTCAATTCATTTTCCTACAACTCCAGAGAACATTTGCTATCCTACTGAACTAGAATTCTGCTTTCCTGAAATATTTACCATTTAACCCCATTTCCTACCTTTAGAGCTACTTAAAATGTAAAGTTAAATCTTTTAGAAGAACCTAACTCCTTCATATACCTGATGATGTCTCCCTCCTAGTTCTAACCTTGTACTGTGTCCCCTTATCTCCAGGCACCACAGCCTCAGTGGCTTAATTAATTGCTCATATGACATGACCTGTGGTTTCACTATTGCAATTTCTATTTCGAAACTATACTAATAGGTTTACTAAAAGTATCTCCGATTGTTTCATATTTCATCAATCTTTTTGTATATATATTTTTAATTTTTATCATAATTTCATGAGAACCTTGTTCTCACATCCTGGGCTTTATCATTGCCTTGAGCACTTTTCTCCTGACTCTCTCAATATTGGCTCCTCCTCCTTCAGGTCTCTGCTCAGTTGTTCCTTCTCAAGTAAGCCACTTTCCAACCCTGTACAGACCACAGCCAGCCACTGCCTCTGTTCCCCTCTTCCATAGATTTTCTTAACCATGTCAACTTGTATTCACTTAATGACTACTCTCTGGATTATCTTACTTCCTTGTATGTGGATGTATGAAACAATTTCAATATGCAAATAGGAAAAAGAAGGTCAGAGATTTTATCTAGTCCATGACAGTATCCCAGTCTGGCACACAGTGTTTGTTGACAGTTGTGGGACCTAAAACTGGGTTCTGCTTTCCTCAATAATTCTTTTTATATTTGTTTCCAATTTTTTTTTCAAAATTTCCCATAAAATATTAGTTTGCCTGCTTCAGAAAGGCATAATTGCCCAGATGTAATAAACAAAATACTTGTTTTTTAGGCTGAGAGATGAATGTGGGTTTATGCTAAATGGTCAATAATATATATGCAGGAAATTGCAAAATTTCAGTGTGCTGGCAGGGTTCTCAAACTACTGTGAAATGACTATTTGGGAAAGTAGTAAGAACTGTAGAGTTCCAGACCCCCAGATACAAACAAAGATGGTAAGATTGTGGAATACAGAGCAACTAATGCTGCTCCCACCTTTGAAATTTGATTCTGTAGGTCAGGGTATGACTCAGGAATCTGTACTTTTCATACGTGTGTGGTTGAAGGCTCTGAGACCATACCTCAAAAAACTCCGCAAAAACGATTGCCTGTTATCCTGTTGCAGGTCACTAAAGTGAATGATAAGCCTAATGCTTTTTTGTTATTATTTATTTTAGGATTTTCGTGGTAACTCAAAGTGTATACAATAAGAAAATTAAAAAAAAAATAGCTATAACGATCTTGACCTGAGATGTGATACCAACCAGTTTTGACTTACTCAGAGATG